GTTTATTGTGCCAAATAAACCGTGGGGTCAGCAGCGTGAACTTTGTACGTTGTCCGTAAACTATCTCACCCTTTTTGGTGGTCACTCTTGTTCAACCTCGCATAAAAAACAAGCCTAGTCCTTCCAGTGTTCTACTGCTAGTAGTGGAACATGGATAGTAGCATCACTCAAGTTTCAACTACGATAAGTGAACATAATCTGAGAAGCAAACTTACCAAATGGATCAACTCCACTCAGAAGATATGAAGCAACCAATCTGTCCCATTCTTCGTTTTTTGTGTCTAACAGGACCAACACTAAGTCAAACCGGCTCAGTAAGGGACTTGCTAGGGCCACATTAACTGATATTGACTTATGGAGGAAAAGACAAATACCAATTTAAGAACCAAATAGTAATAATTCAACATGATTATTTAAAACAAGTATAAGTTTTAACCTTTCTGATGATCAGTATTGTGATAAGGTTTGAATACTGGTAACTTTAGCTCACACCAACATTCTGAAATCAATGAGCCAACTGAACATTTTCGTACATTTAAAAAGTTGAACAACAATCAATTTCAAATACTAATAAAAAACTTACTGAATTTGCATTTAACAATTAAAATTCTTTTGGCAATATATCATTGATAAATGGATTTAATAATAATTTTAGTTATGATTTATTAAATTTAGATTTAAAAGTAAAATGTTTAGACTTCCTTTATGTCACACCAATGATATTAGTTTATCATATTAACCATTATAAAAACTGTTGATCTTGGACATGCTTCATTACATTGTACCAGGGCTGTAAAAAAAGGTCAGTTTGGTAAGAGCAGAGTTCTTTATCATCAAAATCCAACATTTTATGGACTACATAATGCCAGATCTTCTTTGTAAAACTCTTTATTACCATTAACTTCTGTAACTATCATTACAGGTATGTTAAAGGTCCACTAATATCAAAATGCAATGCAGCTACAATGCAAGTATAAACTTACTGAAATTAGAATTTGTAAACTTTTACTTTTTATATGTGTTTGTGGATGGATTTTACAAAAAATTAATAAACAGGATTTTAACAATTTAAACTGAAGAAATGTGATTTGTCATTATACTAATCAGTTATAACCATCAAGAATCTTGAACAAGAGTTGTGTTTGCAGTTAATTCATTAGAGTTGGGGTCTTCACTTAAGATTGGGGTCACAACATATGTCTTATCCACATGATATTTCTACTCATATTTTCCTGTCTATTTTAATACACCAATATTATTCTTTAAAAAAATTAAATCTAGTGGCTTTTTTTTAAATTTTCATCCTATTTTCATATAAACAATTAATATCTGGAAACTGATTCTTCATGCTGGAAAGAGTAATCTTTTGAAAAAAACACCATTTTTCCCATTCCTGATTAGTTCAAGTTAAGACTATTTTCAAAGACATTAGTTATCACAAAAATACAGTCTTAATGTTTTAGGTTATTCATTCAAACAGACATTGAGTAGAAATCTTAACTTAAGGTAAGGAAAAACTACTGGTATAACAAGCAGCCAGTTTAGTTAATGTTAAGCATTTCCATCAACTCATCAAAAACTATAGCTAAGAATGTATACAGTCTATTGAAATGCTATTACATACTCTTCTCATTGGAAACCTGTATTTGTTCAGTAAAGAATGCTGTGATTTAAATTCTTATTAATATCAATGTAATACAATATCATGCAAATATTATTACTGAATGTCATGCTAGATGGGCTGAAGCATTCTACACACTAAGGAATAGTAGTTTACTTATACAATTATTAACATTACACTCTTAATGTTTGTACTTGCTTACTAGACTATTATTGTTTGAGTTCACTTATTACATCTTGGATGTTACTCAATTAGTTTTCAGGATAATTAATTAGAACAATGATTATATGTAGTTCAATATTATATAAATATTTTCTTATAATGATATAGATGGTAATAAGTTTATCAAAAATATTAGTTTGTTTAAAAGAAAGACATCATTAAATTCCAAAAGTCATTTTACAGACAGTTCTTTTATTTTATTTACTTTCTTAGCTGTGATTCTGAAAAGATAATTTTTGTAAAGTATTCAATACTGTTGTTTGAATATATTGTAAAGAACAAATGAGAAAAAAAAAGTCATAATATCCTATATTAGTTATTGAGATAATGAAAGTATTTTCCATGAAGATATACTAGGTCAGATAGGTATTTGAGTTAACTCTCTCCACACAAGCTCAGTCAGTTTGACTGACCACATGACCTCTTTGTACTCGTTTAAAGTCTTTATAGATTTAGTACTACTAACTTTCAATATAGTGTGTATACCTTCACAAAATTTGGCAGTCTTTCAGTTAGCATTACAAGTCTTTCACATACAAAAAATCATATTTTTTAGTGAAGTATTTTTAATAAACTAAAATAAAGATTTGCCTATGAATTTATTGAGTATTTGTTTGAATAATCTGTGAGCAAAGTGATTTTCATGTTAAGATTAAAAATCCTTTTCTTCATCTGAAAAATCCTAAGTTTCACTTTTGTAATCTCTAAAATGTCCTAAATACATTTCAAATACTTGTTTTCAGTAAAACTTTATATTTTATCTCTAATTTTCTCTAACCTAATTCTATACAAGGTCGGTCACTTTGATGACCTCCTAACACCCCGCAAAAAATATCTAAAGAAATATAAATTACCTTTATTTTCTTTTGAGAATGACTTCAAATGTAGCATGAAACTACATTTGTTTATCCTTTAAACTTGTAACTGTATACATCTATTTGTAATTACATTTTATTGTTTTATTGCCCTTTGAACCATGTCTAACTACTATTTGTGCATTATAATTTGTAAATCACTTAGGGAACATGCAGCTCACTGTCAGATTTTAAAAAATGATATATATATATATATAAGTTCTTGTTTTTGCCAATTGTCGAAATAAATGGCCTATCACTTTTACGTTACTTAACTTCACACCAACTATGTTCTCTTTGCTTTTATCTGTCTAATACTCTTTTGTCTGCTGCTTCCCGCTCATCTCACGCTATTTATATCTTTATTACATAGTTATCTGGCCATTTTCTAAATTCTCGACACTAATTAGTTAGTAACAAAACCTTCTACAATCGTCTGCTTTTAACTCTTATTATAACAAAACTTAAAAATAATAAAATATTCACTCACAATTATAAATTAATGACTAATATTTAAACCAAACAGTGTTTCATATCATGACACTTGTGTTATGCTATGGAATTACATTATCCATGAGCTACTCCGAGCTGCTCACATGCATGCCTTGTGAAACATTTTGATTACATTATTATAAGTGTTTATTTTACCTAATCTAACCTAAAGAGATATCTATTTCTACATTTTAGTTACTTTTATATATATATTTATAAATAGAGAATAAATATAAAAACGAGAAATAAAGTACTTACCCGAGTATTCCTTTTTTTGCTCTTGACTATCAATGTCAGTTAATCCTACTTTTTAAACTAATGGTAATAGTGTATTAAACAGTTTTTAGTTAACTAAATAATGCACCAAAGAACATAGACTAATAACATGCAAAAAAGCAGACAATTTCCTCTAACAATCACAATTTTTCTAGCTTTCTAACTATGTGATAAGAGCTGTTACAAATGCATCCAAGCTAGTTGTTGTGATTCCCATGGGAACCAAAGTTAAATTAGAAGTGAAATTGACTATTCTGTGTTCAGAACACAACGTTATACAATACGTCATTTGATAGATGAAACCTTGACTTTCTATTGGTTATAGGTAGTGTATAATTAATCGTGAGAGAACTATTAACAAATCCTGAAAGAGAAGATGTGACAAGTGGGGTCTGATTTTCTATT